TATATGAAGCTCATGCTCTTTGACTATGAATGTTGTATGGGAGATATTTGTCGGACAAGGAATAATATAGATCATATAGTATGATTTGGTACGTTTTTGATGTCTAATATAATATTTTTTCTTCCACTTTCCGATTTTAATCAAGTCTTTAGATAGTTCATACTCATATATGTTGTTTTAGCCTAATTTTTCTGTATCATCAGTTGGGTATTTTATAGTTGGCCTTTTTCCAACTGTTAATTCGGCTTTATGACCAAGCTCAAGGCCTAAAGTCTTTGCCTTCCTGGCTGACTCACCTACTCCCAAATGCATGCCCATCTTCCTTTCTCTAAGTCTTTCACAACTCATGATTCTCTCTCTCTCTCTCTCTCTCTCTCTCTCTCTCTCTCTCTCTCTCTCTCTCCATGTCATGGTTTCTTACCACGCACGCAAGAACTGCCTAATTCTAAGTTGACATGGGAATTAGCTTCTTGTTTTTCTAAACCTATGTATATGCAAGTCTGTTCTCTTTTCTGTTCTAACAATATGCTTTTTTTCCCCTGAAAGTACAACGTATAATACTATGGAATAGTTAATTATTATAACATGCTATTTCTGTAGCAGTACAATAGAGAAAGCAATACAACAGTGATCTCCACTAATAAATTTTCTTTTCCGTCGGCGTGACCATAATTCACATGCATGTACAGTTCCTAAATTTCATTTTGTTTCAGAGACTGCGAAACAAATGAATTGGTCATGTGTTTTACTCGACCAAATGAGATGGAGATAAGGGTTGTAATGTTGGATTAGGAAAAGCAAGTACACGTAGGATTTGATTAGTACTTTTTCCTTCCAATATATATATATATATATATATGATAAAATATGTGGAAACTAATGTGTTTCTTGGAAATTAGAGTTCAAAAGGTAAACTGATAAAAAAAAAAAAAACAGTTATAGTATGGTGGGAATTTTTTTTTCCCCCCTTTGTTTGGACCTTCCAATTATGAACTCAACCTAAAGTGTACCATTATGAATTAATACATATTCGCGTTTTCACTTATCCTTGACAACATTATAATAAACTATACATGTTTTTCTTTTTTTCACTTTTTTTTTTTTGATAGATTACATTCAACTATACAGGTTTCCAAAGTCGACATCTTTTTTATTAAAATGGATATTGAGATATAAAACCAATAAAGATTTAGATCACCTCTTAAATTTTTGGTATCACAATTGATGTCTAACAAATCACATTATGTCACATCATTTAATATACTCAAACATAAAGTATGAAAAAAGTCAGTTAAAAAACATTTCAAAATTTTTAAATTACAAGACAAATGTAGTTAAAAATACACCATTTTGAAAACGGAAATAGGACATATATTGATCTGAGTCCTACCATCAGCATTAATATTAATTAAGAAAACATAATTTAGGTAGAAAGTACTATTTTATTAATTAGCTAGTCAGGGGGAAGAAAGTAGAGTATGATTTTATTTTATGCTTGCAAATGGAGTATGACTATTGATTAAAAAACTATTGTCCTGATTTTCAAAATTGGGAATGTATGTTGGAAGACCAGAAGTCATTATATAATACATAATCTAATGTTTTACCAGCTGCTTGCTAGACTAAAATATAACATTTGCTTGCCTTGTGGGGGGGGAGGGGGAAATATATTCAGATGAGAATTTGAATACCTAGATTAATCTGATCATAACAAATTATAATAGACACTTTTGAAATCAACCATTTGCTTGAAACTTTCGGCATTTTCAATATATACTCATATTTTGGGTTTGCCGAATTTAACTTCTGATTATAAGCTTCCTAATTAATGTGCTAGATGAAGGGAATAATTACATAATCACGAAGTTACTAACTGAAGTTACTAAAATTAAAGCACATACATGCATCATATCGTCGACACCCTATAATATGTAAAAGGTGTATGAGAATAATAGGTGTGTGTGAGTGTGTATATATATATATAGACTAATAACTTAATAATATATATTGCAAATAGCTCTTTAGGCTCGAATATATAGAAGGACTCTTCCAAATATTTATCGAGCAAATTAAAATGGAATAGGATTGGTAGCGACTTTGGATGAATGATGGACAGTAATAGCGTACAACGATCAGAGGCGAGGGAGGTGAGGCTCGGGGTGGAATTTTTAATTTTTTTTTCATATATGCCCCCTCTTCATTAACAAAAATTTCAAAATATCTCATTCTCAACCAAAATCCAAACTATTTTTTTTATTGTTTGTTTTTTTCCTATTAAATCTTATACTTTTAAATGTACCTAATTGAAATTTTTTACTTTACTCAAGTTAAAACTTTTATTTTTAAAAATTTTTCACTTTTAAAATATTGTTTTCATATAATTTTTATTGTATCAAAAGTGAGCCTTACCAAAAATAAATAAATAACCCATTAAAATTATATTTCTCAAATGTGTTCTTAATTAAGCAATTTATTCAAATAACACTATCAATTACCATTTGCTCATTAACAACTTTTCTCTAATTTGCCTTTGTTGAGGTAGTAAACACCTCCTTTAAAACTTGCTCTTTTCTCTTTTAAAATTTTGTTTCATATATCAAAAAATTCAATAAACTGACTCTTTTAAAATTTTGTTTCATGTATCAAAAAATTCAATAAACTGATTAATATGCACATACATTTGCTTTCAACTATTTAATAGTATTGTAAGTTAATATTATTAGTGTTTTAAACATTTTTAATTTACGCCCGCCCAAATGCTCCAATAGAGTTGTTCTTGCCTTCTAGATAAAACCTAGTGAAAACTTATGCCTCATTTATTTCACCAATTTAAGTTTTCAATTTTAGATTTTTACAGTTAAAAACTCTCAGAAAATGTTACGTCTAACTTTTTTATTACAGTTAAAAATTTTCAAAAAATATCACATCTCAAATCAAATTAAAAACTCAAATCGCGAAACGAACGAGGCCTTATTTTATAGGTTGGTTGGAACGGGGGGTTGCTCCTATCTTAGACTTGATGCTTGGTCACTAGCAGAGTTGTCCCTCCGCGGATTCCTAGACCCACTAAAGTAAAGGTAGGTTAAAAAAAGGACTATATCCCTCGAACAAAATCCTAACTTCGCCGCTGGCAATGATTAGTACAGTTTTCACGTATATATTAGCCCAACGAGTTGAAATCTCAACAACAAAAATCTTAAATAAGTTTTCTTGGCATATACCTCAAACCAGATCATCTGAATTGGAAATTGTAGATTAATTCCATATAATACGTCATTATTCCAGCACTAACAAAGACCTGCATAATAAAGAGTATAGACTAGTTAGTATATATTCGAGAAAAGTTCATATAGGTACTAATATTCAACATTTTGCATTTTACACGTCTCTCCTAAGTACTGTAAATTTTCTCACACCTTGTCAGGAGTATAAATGTTTGTTTGATCAAATTTTCCGTTATATATCACAACTATATATAGTCCAATTTTTGGTAGTCTTCTGCCTTTTCTGACTGGGAGTTATTCATGCCATTTACTTGGTCCACAGTCCACGGCCCTCTATAAGAAAACAATGGCAAAACATTATATATTCCTTTCTTGTGTACATTAATATGCGTAATACAAATCAATGCCGGTCATAAATAATTACTAACTAGCATCATTTTTCTGACCAGTTAAGGATTGAGTAAAATTATTGTTTGAAAATTAATTTCAATTTTTGAAATCGGAATATACAATTCGCTCGTAGGCATAAGTGGTATGAATGGCACTTTTGCAGCAGCTAGTTCAAATTAAATATATGTGCTTCTATTTTGGTTTTTTTTTTTTTTTTTTTTCCTTTACCGATCGATTTTGTTTCATTTCCTTTAAAAAACAATATTTGTTTCAATTCTTCGTAAGAAATATTGAGTACAATTTTTGAAGTTTCAAAAAAAAAAAAAAAAGCAACCCCGTAGCAAGTCAATATATAATAATGATTCAGAGGCCCAAAATAAAGAAAAAATAAATAAATAGTGGTGCACTAGTATGTTCAAACCTCTGGTCAATATTTGCTTCCTATATATGCCCACAACTTCACAAATGTAGAGTTGCGTAGAATTCATGAAACCCGTGATGACATATATATATAAATGTTGCAACAATCTTCTCATTCTTTAAAAGACCACGTTGTGTTGCGTCCTTTAATTAAATTATCAATAGAACAATTCTCATTCTTCTCATGCAATAACTGTTTAAAGCCTCACGCTTTTTAAACGACATGAGGCGCACATGTGGATAGTTAGAAGTTTTTTATGGCCGTATTTAGATTTATAATTTGGGTTAAGATGTAATTTTATGTGAGAATGTTTTATTATAATAAAATAATTAAATGTGATTATTTTTTAGAGTTTTTTATTATAGTAAAATTTAAATTCTAAACTCGAATCGGTGAAATAAAAAGAACTTTAAATAATCATTTAAAAAATACAAAAAAAAATTAATCTCCTCTTTTACATGCATTAAAAAAAAGAAAAAGAAGAAAGAAAGAGAGAGAATATATATAATGTGATTATTTTTTAGAGTTTTTTATTATAGTAAAATTCAAATTCTAAACTCGAATCGGTGAAATAAAAAGAACTTTAAATAATCATTTAAAAAATACAAAAAAAAAATTAATCTCCTCTTTTACATGCATTAAAAAAAAGAAAAAGAATTTTGTACCTTGGCCGTTATCATCGATAAGAAATTGCAGTGGAATATTTGAATAATGAAATCACGGATGTAGTTTTTTCTTTTAGTAATCCGTAGTTGTAGATAGCATTTGAATAGCACTATTCACTAAAGCACAAAATAAAATAAAATAAAATAAATATATACATATATATATATATCGAATATTGTCATTTTCATACTTCTTAATACCAAATATAGCATTTGTATTGAGAATGATCTTACATGCTTGAAATTACGACAGCTTAAAAATGAATTGAAACAAATAGCTGCTTCAAATAAAAAGAGTAGTTCGAAGAACAATAAAAATTATACAACCAGAATCGGATAAGATATACATATATGTATTTGGCATCTTCATTGTGAAATCCTATTCATCAATTTAATAGATTAGATGGGTAGTTGATGTCCTCAACAAAACATGAAAAATGCAAAAGTAAGATCCCATATCTAGCTCCATCTTCCAATATTCAACAAAATGAACAAAAACGGCTACAAACCACTTCATATTGAAAGGTAGGCAAGCTGTTGAGGAGGACATATGTACAATTATACTGCTTAGTTATTCACAGATTTATTATATAAGGCATACGGCATCTTGGATTGAACTTTCGATTTGAATTTGAAAAGCCTCAAGCACATACACCACCATAAAGTCCCGACTAGACCTCGCAAAGATTCTTCAACATTTACTTTCACTGCGCTACTGAAAACTCCGCCGTGGATATTGGTGTATTGGAACAGGCCAACAGCAAATAAACTCTGATAAACAGCTACATTGCCTCAGGAATTTGGTGTTTACGCCATTTGTTATCCAAACTATCAGGAGAGCAGACAATACTCTTCAAAAATATGGCTGTCTACTTCCTTCCCCATAAACCTAACATGAGAAACAAAATTCCTTTTAGAAACTGCAAGCAGATAAAATTCTTCAAAAAGCCAAAAGGGCTGGTGAGGGTATATTCCGTATAAAACTATTTCAATTGCAAATGCTAATGCTAATTTCAGTGTAAAAATGACTTGTTTGATTTGCTATTCTGTTTACTACTCCAATGCATAAAACTATTTCAAACATCATATCTATATTTTGTCGTAATTATAAAGCTTTGAAATTGTAAAAGTAAATTTTTAATATTCAAATAATTTGAAAATTAATATATTGTAATGATTAAAAGAAAGAGTTAATGCATGAATCAAGTCAAATGCCAAAATTTGGCATTTGCTGTAGTTGGTGCCAAATTTGCCCCCAATTATAGCATTTGTCAAATTTAGCATAAAATACAGCATTCAATTGGGGAAAATTTGGCATTGACGCGTCCATTTGGCATTGCATTGGAGATGTCGTAAAATATTAATACTTGAAAATAATTTGAAGTTAAACCCAGGCTTAAGGTTTGCAGGTTCAGAAATAGGACTCAAAAAAAAAAAAAAAAGGTTTGGATGCACATTATACATGAATAGTGGATGGGGCAACATTGAAGCTTCTCAAATATGTCTTCTTACCTGCAGTGCTCAAAAGGATTCTCACAAACTAAATTTTGCATGTTAGACTAATCATTAAAAGAGCTGTGCCAGGAACACTGACCACTTGCGGTCCATATTCTGCCTTCAAGCAGTGTTGTGCGTGGCCCCAGTTCACATGGTGAGACTCATCTTATGAAATAGCTGATAATGGACACCCCACTATTCTAGAGTGTCCTTAGCACTCCTTGAGTTAAAAAGATGACCCTACCATACCCACTTTGGATGATGCGTCGCCTACAGAGCACTAACCAAAGGGTAAGTGCAAGTTCCCTCCATAGCTTTCATTCACAGATGCCTAAAGGATGACCAAAGGAAAACAAATCAGCGTGGCTAATGAACATCAAGCACAAGAGGTCGTAAGGAGAAATCATGTTTACTAGCCACAAAAAGAAAAAGGCAATCATTTTGTGAATGATTCCTCATCTACCTAAAAAGTATGCTACATGAAAATGGCAAATCCCACTACAATAAATAGAAAAGCACGTCCAAAATAGGTGGGAAAGCAATCAATGTTAACCACTCACCTGAAGATAGGGAAATACATTGTCATAAACATGTAAGAGAAAATTTGACTTCGACATGAACCTGAAAGACCAATCGAGTTTATATGCAAATGAATTAAGATTCATAGGGGGGGAAAACGGTTTAACAACCCAACAGAAAGACAACAGACTGCACCAAAACATGTGGCGTCAAGAGACCAATGACATGCAAAAACACTGCCGAAAAAATGACTGTTAAAAGTAAAGAATTTCCAAGAGAACATTTTACACCTGTAACATAATTGCACAAGTTAGAATTAATAAGCCACGGCACTTTTCTCCTTAGTAAACCAAGATTAGAGACCATCATAGTATATTTTATATTAAGCATGCACCAAATAAGTTCACTCCCACTTTCACCTAAATGATGGAAATCAGCATATCTTAACTCAATATTTAAAATATGAAGTCCAGTGGTTAAGATAACAAGTAGCAGGGGGAGAGAAACATGGTGAACTGAAAATGAAACCAAAAGCTTAAAGAACCTGTCAGATCCCATAGGCTCTATTAGGCGGAAGATGTTCAGGAAGCATTCTATTCGTACCTACGTAGCAGTTGGAAACAAATATATAGTTCTTCAAGATCCAATTCGATCTTTAACTTGACATACTGCTTGAGAACCTCAGAAAACCTGTCTAAAGCTTCATTCCAACTTTCATAACCTACATCCAGTAGATGCTGAGATTCCAAGATAGTATATCGTAGAATTGAAGATAAATTTCCAGGAGACCCAGATTTGTAATACATCTTGGCAAGAACATTCAATATTACACAGTTGCTCTTGCTGAACTCATCAACCCACTTTGGAGGATTTCCAACCCAGAGTTTGTAGTTTGAAGCAGAGTCAGTTGATTCAAGACGATTCTCGGAATTTATGTTTTCTAATGAATCTTGAGTATGTTTGGAAGAAGGGCCCAAGGAAGAATTTGCTGAGAACCCTGGTTTCCTGTGTGCGGAAAGCTGCTCAATTATGTTAACTCTTAGTTCTTGAGGCAGTTGTTGCAGCACTGACGTGTCTACTTGACTTAAAGATGAAGGCATTAAATCAGGTTTCTCAAGTCCGACTGCAGGAATCGCCAGGTTATGATATCCTTCATCAGAAGGCATTACTTGTACATCGTCATGCTGCTTTACCTAGTAGAAGATACCAATTATACGTGATGTTCAAGACGAGAATAATTATGGAGTATGGACAATGCATGTATTTGAAGAAAGCCCCAACGAAATTATAAGTTTGTTTTCAGACGACAGAAATACCAGTGACAAATTCTTTCCAGTGTATTGTGCATACGTTCAAACAAGAAGCAAAATAAGCTAAGAGATAACACAATTGCATCCACAAACCCCAAACATTATATGTAGATAGATATGTGCGTGAGGCTGGGTGGGTGTGTGTGTGTGTGTGTGTGTGTGTGTTATGAGCGCAAAAAGGAGTAAAAGAACAGCTCCAACAGTGTGTGTGTGTGTGTGTTATGAGCGCAAAAAGGAGTAAAAGAACAGCTCCAACAGAATCAGAACCAGATGTCCAACCAACAAAGGAAAGCAAATTACACAGCCACCCAACAATTAAAAGTTGGAAAAGGAGAAGAACAATTATAAAGAGCTAATCAGTAATAGTTAAGCTTCTGGAAGATTTTTCTGCGTAGGACCTGACCAAAGCTACCTCCTGATATACGACAGACCAGGAAACGAGCAATTAGCAGAAACAAGTCAAGACGTCACCTTGTCTTCTTTTGTTATTTTGTCTGGATGGACCAGATTCTCAAAGAGAAGCCCCTCGCCCTCCTTCATTTTGCCTATACAGCCATCACCAAATTCATCAAGCATTCAATATTTATAAAGCTCCTTAATAACCAACTATGAAAAGTTGGCCCTCAGCAAAAGAAACAAAAAAATAAAAAATAAAAAGTTGGCCTTTATGTTATTTTTTATTAGTGCAAGGATGGTACCTTTACTTTTACTTTTAGCAACAAAATCAACCAACTTCCCCCCATATATTTTGTTTAGCTCAGAAAAAATTTCTGGAGGAAGACTTCCTATAACTCCAAAATCAAGATGAGATAAAGGCGGTGGTGCTGAGTTCGAGTTCAAGCTAGGTTCATCACTAGATGGATTATTGCCAACCGAGTTTGTAATAACAGGTATCTCTTCACATGACCGACCAGGAATGCTATCATTTCTCAGACTCCCACAATCTGTGAAACGGTAACCATTAAATAATCAAATGAATCTTAGCTCGTCTTTTAGCAAATGAATTATAACAAGACGTGTTTGTACCTGTACTATCTATTTTTAGGATTAGGATCACGATAAATTACTAACTAATACAGGAGTTTTTTTTTTTAATTAAATTTATAGTACCTACAATTGCCTTCTTTGGAACAGTACGATTACGTTGTTCTTCTGAACTTGCTGAGGTAGATTTCAACCATGATTTCAAAGAGTTCTTGCCAGATCCTTCAAACCAATAAAAGACCGTGGCCAGTTTGGCCATCAGAGAGATGTCAAGAACCACCAAATAATAAAGACAAAAACACTATATAAATCAATGTATGTCCAGCTAAAAGATTCTGTGCATGATATGACTAGGAAAATTATATGAATAGAACTACACTGAGGATGGCTGCAGAAACACCAACTGGAAACAATGCAACAACGGACCTTGCTTAAGAGGATCTGCATTCTCAAGCTTGGACACTTGCAAGCCAATACCCCTAATCTCCTTGACATCTAGGTGAGCAAAAATGAACAGGTCAATGTAAAGTTGTCAGAGGAGCAGGAGAAGAAAAAAAAAATCCTAATGACGAAGAAATGAAAATACAAAACACAATAATAATGTATAAATCTACACAGCAAATCAATATGTATGACTCGTTCCTCTGCTCTTGGCAAAAAGCCTACCTATGTTGAAAACCCCAAACAGCTGCTTCGTTATTCTCTGAAGCACTTCGACGGCATCAGTAGCAACTGGAACCTATTTAAACCACTAGTAATGTTACATTGTAAGCCCAACAGCCAAAAGCATATTAGATTAATAATGAAACCGGAATCATGTGCATGCACTGCACATATTTCCGTATTTTTGTAAAGGGAAGATGAATTATGGGACGCTTTGTTGCTACCGTAAGAGAATGGCTCAAATTTTCACAGTCCCCACAACCCATATACTTTGCAGGCTCCTCTGCATCCTTTCGCCTCTTTTTTATCTGATATAACAGATCACATATACGATAACGTTGTCAATTTACTTCACCAGATATTAACCAAGAAATGACAATCCTGCTAGGAATTTAAAGAAGAGGCAAATCCTTGACTCCTTTCAATTTGAAACATATTAAGCACAACTAGTGACTAATCAATAGAACAATTGAGATTAAAATTGAGAGGAACACACCTTAAGGGTAAAAGTGCGCCCCTGCACTCCACATCCTTGCAATCGTAATGAAACCTCCTTGCAAAGGCTTGAAAGGAAGCTCTGGCTCTGGAAAAAAATTAGTGTCAACATATTTTGACCAAAACAAAACATTGACAGGTTCAAAAATAGTGAAGGCTCCATAGCATGATACTTACATCTTTTGGATCTTTAAATCTCACACCCCAATTCACTTCAGCTCCTATGGACTTGCTTTCCTGCAAATTACATCTTATATTAAGTGAAGATGGGATATTTCATAGAAGTACCGGAAGATGGACTTTTTAGGGGTCTGGGTAGTGTTGTTTTCCTTTAATATATATATTATAAAAAATAAAAAAAAATAAAAGAAAGCCTGAGCTAAGACTGCTTGATTTAACTTGCGACTAAGAAGTGCCAACTCTCTTCCCTTTTTCACACTGGGAGAGGGGGCCTGGAATATAATTGCATTAAGCAAAAAGGGCAAATTTATGCAAGAAAGATTGCAACAAAATGAACCATAGAACAAATTATAACAGGCATGCATTTATATGTGCCAACCTGAATCATCCCAACAAGCCGATTATCTATGCCCCTGCTATAATTCCACAGCATCTCCCCAGTTTTTGCTCCATAGTCTTTTTCAAGAGAGTCCTGGATATGTCAAGATCTACACAGTAAAGAGCTAGCACCTTTTCACATTAGAAAGGGCAAAAATCATTTATAACATTATAGAGAGGATCTCTAATACAGCAGATCTCCTCTAACCAAGTTAGAATCTAATAAATAAAATATTAACTAAAAAAATAAATATAATCCATAGGCCTTTTCGAATATGACTGATGTGCATTGCAAAATTCATGCGGATGCAGGGTATATAATGCAACCTTGTTCCAAAGCCAGCATCAACATCAAGTAAACATACGTCTTAGAGCGTCGCCTACTTTACCTTCTGCATACACCCAAATAAACAGTTGAGAGAATACTTTTTTCTTTTCTTTTTGCCCTTCTTTTATTGTCCACAGTATCCATTTATAACCATTTTTCATCCCCTCGCACTGTATATCGTCTCGCACAAAAAAGTGCAACTTAGCCATTCACCACTTGGAAGGAAAAAAAAAATCAAGCCATGAAGGAGAGTACCTTGGAGATAATGCGCAGCTGTCCACAGGTCTGGACATTCTTCTGCTTCAACTTCTCTTCAAGAACACGTCCTATTCCTGGAAGTGCCTTGATTGGTAGTTGATGCAAGTAGTCGTCTACCTAAAATACCAAAACTTCAAATGAAGGTACTTACATAATATCGCACGACATATTCATTTTTACCTCATTTACTGCAAGGATTGAAGACAGCATGTATTACCAAGTAACAAGTTCAAGACAATGAATTTGAGGAAAAATAAAATAAAATGGGAAGAAAAAGTTGCCTAAACTATGATAAGGAGACCACAGACATCACAGACATATTTTTGAATTATCATTCAATTATGAAATATAAATGACAAAAATAGAATAAAATTATGGAAGTGGATGTTAGTCCTCCACTGAAGTTTGTCTACTCCAGGAAACGCAAGGGGATGGAGAGTGGGAATAGAGTAAGTGTAAGGGGGGAAAATGTAATTTCGGAAACTAGGAGCTGACGTGGAGGAGTTTGTTAGAAGGATTGTAGGAGTGAGGGAATTTAAGGGTGTACGGGGACTTGGGGAAAGGCAGTTAGTTATTTTGAGAATGCGTGAGCATTGGGAGGGTGGGACCTCGAAATTCCCAGGCCTGCCTCTGCCATTAGCGTTTTCCTTTCTTTTGAATTTATTGAGTTGTACTCAGCCATGGCCACCGAGTCTGTGGTGGTCTGATATTGAATAAAAGGAGCAGACGCCCCCTTTGCGCTGTTATTTGCCGACTCTCTTTTCTTCTCTCTCTCGGATTCTGCTCTCTAAAACGTAGGACTCTAACAAACTGGTATCAGAGCCGGCGATCATGGCGGCTCCGCCGGGAGATCGGCAAGCGATCGAGCGAGTTGCAAGTATAGAGCGGAGACTAAACCACATGGATGAGACGGTTCAGCTTCTGGGCGCGTTGGTTGATCCCGTACCTCGACTGCAGGAGGATGTGACGGCGTTAGGAGAACAGTTAAACATGGTTCATGGTTCCGTTCAACGGATGGAGACCCTACTTGCTCGGCAGTTTGGAGCACCCAATCCCGGGGTCCCCGTCGAGGGCGGCGGACGAAATTACGAGCAGGGTCGACGCCAGCGACGCGACTCCCCTGAGCGGCCACGAGCCCGCGACCACCGTGGAAGGAAGCTGGAACTCCCAATTTTTTCCGGTGAAGACCCGTACGGGTGGCTATTCCGAGCTGAGCGGTACTTCGCCGTCAACGAGGTCGACAAGGAGGAAAAGGTGCTCGCGGCGTCCATCTGCATGGAGGGAGGGGCCTTGGGCTGGTTCTAGTGGGTGGAGGCCCAGGAACCATTCATGGGATGGAGGGACCTCCGGACGGCCATCCTCCACCGTTTCAGCCAATCCGGGGAAGGGGACCCTACTGAGAGGCTGATGGCACTCCGACAAAGTGGAACGGTAGCCGAGTTCCGAGATTCCTTTGAAGCGCTGGCGGCGCCGATGAGGGGCATTCCGGAATCGGTGTTCAAGGGAGCATTCCTCAACGGACTACGAAAGGACATCAGGGCGGAGGTAAAATTACACAGGCCCATTAACTTGCAAGAGGTCATGGACCTGGCCCAACAAATTGAGGCCCATGATGATGCGGTAGAGAGGATGAAGAAGCTGAGATTGGGCCGGGGTAATAAGGGGGAATACTTGGGCCGGCCAAGCTCAAGATGGCCGACCTCCAGTTCCTCTTTGGGCCCAGCAGAGAACCCCCTTCGATCCAATGCCTACAGAGAAGGTGCCACGACAGCCAAGGGCGCACGTGGTCCTCCCTTTCGTCGCAGCATGCACCGAGTGGGGACTCCAAGTTTCGCCGCTTGTCTGAAAAGGAAGTTCAGTAGAGGAGAGCTAAGGGCCTATGCTTCCGATGCGACGAGCGCTTCAGTCCGGGACACCGGTGCAAGAACCGGCAGCTTCAAGTGCTCCTGGTGGCTGAGGATGAGACTGAGGAGGACGAGGAGTCCAGTGAGGAGGAGGATTTGCCGCCGGCGCAAGGGAGAGGGGCGACGACCGAAGCCGCGGCGGTGTCTTTGAACTCGATGCGCGGATTGGTGTCCTCTAAGACCATGAAGCTGCGGGGCTACTTGGGTACGCGAGAGGTCATTGTCTTAATTGACAGCGGCGCCTCCCACAGCTTTATATCTCTGTCGTTGGTGGACGAATTGGCCATACCTACGGAAAAGACAGCCAGCCATGAGATTCAAGTGGGCAATGGAATGACTTTTAGACAACAGGGGCGCTGTCGGAATGTGAGGCTGGAAATTCAAGGCCACGAACTGGTCGAGAATTTCTTTCCGTTCGAATTGGGGAGCGCCGATGTCATCTTGGGTGTCACGTGGCTGGGCACGTTGGGCGAAGTTCGAGCCAACTGGTCGGACTTCACGATGAAATTCAGACAAGGGAATGACTGGGTTCACTGGAAGGGCGACCCCGCCTTGTGCGTCACACCGGTAAGTTTTCGATCGTTGACTCGTTCATTTCACTCTACCGGGGTGGGACTATTGTTAGAGTTACGATCCAGTTTGGCGGGAGAACTGGCTGCGGAGGAAGAACCCCCGGAACTACGGGCAGTACTCGCCCGCTTTGAGGCAGTGTTTGGGGTTCCAACCTGGCTTCCGCCACACCGGGCACACGACCACCGTATTGTCCTCAAGGACCAGGCTGCACCCCCAAATATCCGTCCCTATCGATACCCGCAAATACAAAAGGTGGAGGTGGAAAAGTTGATAGATGAGATGTTGGCTGCAGGAATAGTTAGACCAAGCTGCAGCCCATACTCTAGTCCGGTGTTATTGGTCAGAAAAAAAAAAGACGGGAGTTGACGGTTTTGTGTTGATTACCGCGCCCTTAACCAGGTTACCATCCCGGATAAATTTCCAATTCCGTTAATAGACGAACTACTGGATGAGTTGCACAAGGCTAGGATATTTTCCAAGTTAGACCTAAGGGCTGGCTACCACCAGATACGGGTTCGCGACTGTGATGTGGAAAAAATGGCATTCAGAACTCACGAGGGGCATTACGAGTTCCTCGTCATGCCCTTCGGCCTCACGAATGCTCCTGCCACATTTCAAGCCCTCATGAACTCGGTTTTCCGGCCCTACCTTCGCCGATTCGTTTTGGTTTTTTTTTATGACATTCTTGTCTACAGTAAGAGTTGGGAGGAGCACCAGGATCACTTGTCCGCTGTCTTGGAAGTCCTCGAGCGGGAACAACTGTTTGCCAATCGAAAAAAATGTGCTTTTGGTCGTCCGAGCTTGGAATACTTGGGGCACATCATCTCGGAAGAAGGAGTGGCAGCCGACCCTTCAAAAGTCCAGGCCATAAGCACTTGGCCACCCCCTCGGACAATACGTGAACTTCGCGGATTCCTCGGCCTCGCGGGGTATTACCGTCAGTTTGTGGTAGGGTTTGGAGAGCTAGCGCGTCCGCTGACTACATTGCTGAAGAAAGGTGCCTTTAAATGGCAGGCGGAGGAAGAACAGGCGTTTGCCACACTAAAGAAGGCCATGTCATCCCTTCCGGTGTTGGCCATGCCCGATTTCTCAAAGGAATTCGTGGTGGAAACGGATGCATCGGGCTACGGAGTGGGTGCCGTTCTTATGCAAGAGGGCCGCCCGTTGGCGTATTTCAGTAAGGTAATGACTTCTACTTTCCACTTAAAATCAGCTTACGAAAGGGAATTGATGGCCGTAGTATTTGCCATACAAAAGTGGCGCCACTTCCTTCTTGGAAGGCACTTTGTGGTGAGAAGTGACCAGCAAAGCTTACGTTACCTGCTGGACCAGCGTGTACTCCCTCCGAAGCAACTCAAGTGGATCACCAAAATCTTGGGTTATGACTTTGAGGTGCAGTACAAGCAAGGGGCTGCCAACCGGGTGGCTGATGCCCTCTCCCGCCGGGGTGCGGAGGATCAACCGAGCATATCGGCCATCTCGCTGCCCCAGCTGCTGGATCTCTCTGAGGTACAGCGGGGACAAAAGGCTGACGCCTCTCTAGCCGACCTCATAACGCGGTTGCAGTCTAACCAGGATGTGCCGACAGGTTACAAGCTGCACAACGGAACCCTTTTCCTCAAGGATAGGCTGGTTCTGCCGACAGACTCTCCATGGATTGGCAAGGTATTGCACGAGCTTCACAACTCGGTGATCGGCGGGCATTCGGGGGTCTATAGAACGTATAAGCAAATAGCGGCCAGCGGGTATTGGAGGGGCATGAAGCTCGCAATTCGGACATATGTGGCCCAATGTGAAATTTGCCAACACGCCAAGTACGAGACCTTGTCCCCCGCAGGCTTGTTGCAACCTCTTCCCATCCCCGACAAGGTTTGGGACGATATTTCGATGGACTTCATTGGTGGGCTACCTAAGTCCCGCGGCATAGACACGGTTTTGGTGGTGGTTGACCGCCTAACCAAATACGCCCATTTTTGCCCACTCGCACATCCTTACACAGCTCGCCAAGTGGTGGAATTGTTTGTCCGGGAAGTGGTTCGACTCCATGGGTTTCCCCATTCCATTGTGAGTGATCGTGACTCACTTTTCAGAGTGGCTTTTGGTGGGAAATGTTCAGGATGCAGGGCACCAAGTTACACATGAGCACCGCCTATCACCCGCAATCTGATGGCCAAACCGAGGTAGTTAATCGTTGCCTAGAGACCTATCTGCGGTGCTTCGCCGGTGACAAACCGCGCCAGTGGCTGTCTTTTTTACCTTGGGCCGAATATTGGTTTAATACCACATTTAACGCTTCCTCCAAGTTTACTCCATTTGAGCTGGTGTATGGACGCCCTCCTCCGGTACTTCATCGTTTCCAAGATGCGACTTCCGCGGTTGCAGATGTGGAAGAGAAGCTGCTACTTTGAAACCAGATGCTAGACACCCTCAAGGATCACTTAACCTTGGCTCAGCAGCACATGAAGAAGTATGCGGATGCGCATCATCGTGAGGTGATCTTTGCTCCAGGGGAATTGGTGCTCTTAAAGCTACGGCCCTACTTCATGAAGACCCTGGCCAGACGACCACATGAGAAGCTGGGGCCACGTTTTTATGGACCGTTTAAGGTACTCGAGCGCCTGGGTTCAGTGGCCTATCGACTGCAGCTGCCACCCACAACACGCATCCACCCTGTCTTTCACGTGTCGCAGCTGAAACGTTACTAAGGGGCAGAGTTTAAAGGGCAGCCCTTACCACCGCAGCTCACCGAGGACCTCGAGTTGCAAGTCCAGCCAGCGTAAATCCTGAGCTCTCGCTCTGTGCAAGTTGGTGGCCATAAGGTGGTGGAGGTTTTGGTTCAATGGGCGGATTTACCCTCTTGGGAAGCGACTTGGGAACCATTGGCCACCATCTAGGAACCGTTGGTCTTGAAGGGGGGGGGGAGCGGGTTGGGTAATGTTAGTCCTCCACTGAAGTTTGTCTACTCCAGGAAACGCAAGGGGATGGAGAGTGGGAATAGAGTAAGTGTAAGGGGGGAAAATGTAATTTCGGAAACTAGGAGCTGACGTGGAGGAGTTTGTTAGAAGGATTGTAGCAGTGAGGGAAGTTGAGGGTGTACGGGGAGTTGGGGAAAGGCAGTTAGTTATTTTGAGAATGCGTGAGCATTGGGAGGGTGGGACCTCGAAATTCCCAGGCCTGCCTCTGCCATTAGCGTTTTCCTTTCTTTTGAATTTACTGAGTTGTACTCAGCCATGGCCACCGAGTCTGTGGTGGTTTGATATTGAATAAAAGGAGCATACGCCCCCTTTGCGCTGTTATTTGCCGACTCTCTTTTCTTCTCTCTCTCGGATTCTGCTCTCTAAAACGTAGGACTCTAACAGTGGATAAAGGATAAGTGAAACCCGTAGCAACATAAACATTGACAGAGAATGATTAAGCTGAAAATTGTTTGCATAACAGATCAGCAATTTTCTCTCTGCAGAGAAAAGCATAGGGAAAATGCAGATAGAACTTGCAGAATCATCATTCAAACTAGTGTAAATGAATGATATTTAGGGCAAAAAGAAAATGCATGATAGTACGTCCATACAAGCTTTCTAACTTCACATTGAAGCTGGATAAGGTAAAGTAAAACTGATAGTAATATAAATATCAATATAGAATCGGTGAAGTCGAAAAGTTTTGCGTAATAAATAAACAGTTTTCTCTCTGTGGGAAAAACCATAGGCAAAACATAACTAGAGCTAGCTGCATCCCCATTATCCCTACCACAGTCATCAAAGAATAATGGATGAGGCTATTGAAGGCATTGGCTCCAAAGTTCCGAGAAAGTTAATGAGGCTATTTAAGTCTTTTGAAAAGAAATATTGTTGAAAAACTTATGGTCTAAGGAACACTTTCTGAGTATATACCTTCTCTGGAGAAATGTGAAACTGACCCTCAGGTTTGGCATTTCTAGTGGCAAGACGAGCTAAGAGCATATTCCCAGCGATGCCAGCACTTGCAGTACATCCTGTAGTCTCAAAAATCTCTTTTCTTATTGTTGAAGCTAAGTGTTCAGGATCTTCTCCTTCCAAGTTTGTGACATCTAAGAATGCTTCGTCACAGCTCACTGCCTACATTTAGGATAAACTATAATTGTTAAAAGAAAAAAATTGGATTAAATAAAATCAAGTGCGTATAGAGGATGTGCTTACAAAACCAGACCTGTACTGTCTTACAATGCTTGTGCAAGATGTTATAGAACTGATCGGCAACCTGCAGTTTTCCTCAAGATCAAATAGCTAAAAGAAACACCCAACAAGGTAACTAATGCTATAAAAGATAGTTCAAATAATAAAAAATGGTTCTTTAGCCTTATGAGAAGAATTTTGAAGGTAAAATGAGATGCTCAAGTGAATGGCCACCTCCTCATATGCTTCGAAATTGTATGGAACAATGACTATGTGTGGACAAAGAGCCTTGGCGTCTCTAACAAACAAGCCAGCCCTGACTCCTGCAAATCAAAAGTAAAAGTTTAATAAAACCTTAGTTCCAGATGAACTGTACAAGAAATTGAAATTGACATGGCTTGGTAAAGCCAAACCGTAATCTCGAGCAGGATAATTGGCGGATGAAATTTCAGCAGTTCCTTTTGGACTGTCTGAATGGCATACAGCTACAGGCTTGTCCTTTAATTCAGGATGCCTCCTAATGACCACTGAGACAAAAAAGCAGTCCTGCAGCATCATATCAGAGTTATTGTACTACTTAAATATCCAAAACAATCATCATCTCTGAACGTACAAAATCTCCAAATAGGAGTAAAGAAAAGATGAATAAGCAATAGAAGTCAGGTTCAATTTTAACAGATCCAAATTTAAAGAATACCATGTCAACATGAATAATTGTCATTTTCTCAGCAGAAGAATTAGGGTTGGGATTGACATGCTTAAGCCCATTAGACTGGTTGGGAAAACGCTTACGATACCGATTTCTCCATGTTCCGATAAAGTGCAGCCTTGAGTTCTGAAGAAAACAAAGTTCATACAAGATGTTATCAAAGGTATTGACAACTAATAAAGAAGGAAAACACTACTCAAAGAAACCAAAAGGAGGAAAGGAAACAGAACCGAAAACACTAATGCGAGGTGGAAACTATCTGAATCACACCGTATCTGGTGATCCATCTAATTTCACTGGTAAATCCTTACAAACTAGTTGACTACATCTTCCAATAATAGTGCAATTCTATAACAATTTTGTACCTAAACTAGCCATGCACTTAATAACCATAATAGACATTTTGGCTAAGATCAAGAATGTTTTCTGATAACCCCTCAATACCTTGAAATAATTTTCCACAAAATTTGGATCCTTGAGAGTTGAATGACTTTCAGAAGACCCAACAGCTACTGGACTTGGTAAGCTCTTTGTGTCTTGATTGTCTAAGCAGGAACCACCAACCGAAGCAGAGCGTGCACAGGGACTAGTTTGATCATCATCCTTCACAATACTCTCATCTTCCTTGTCTTCTATTTTCACGTCAAAAGAACATCCACTTGCTCTAGATGACTGCTCAATTAGAGAATGAACTTCTTCACGCGTGTTGCCATCAGATCCTCCACAACTTTGGTGTTTGTATTCCGTTGATTTACCCACTTCAGATGAATTGTCATCCTCTTCTTGACCCCCCTTAGAAGATGTACACTCATCCTCATGCTTAACAAGAAAAGCATCACCTGAAATAGAGAGGGTTTTCAGAGCAAAGAAGGCCGACAGCCTTGGTTGGTTGTCAGCAAGCTGCTCAAGTTGGTAAGGAACCCCTGGAATCACAAAAATGAATTCCCTAATGAACTTTCAAAACCCCAAAAAGGAGGAACACAAAATCAAGTATATAAAGTATGGCAATACTAATTTGGGATAGCACATTAAGACTTTTCCTTCTAAGCATTCCGGCAAACACATTCAAATCAATTTGCTCCCTCACATTAATATTTCTACACATTTTAAGAGTTATTCCAATTAGTTGGGATCAAAACTTAGTTTATGTAAATAATCATACTGAAAAATTGCAAATATAAATCTACAATAACAAATGAAATAATAAACTTACAACTTAATAGTTTGTTAGCAGCAACCGAATCTAAAACCCAGCTGGGTTTAACAATTGGTAGCCCTCCACTAAAAGACCTGTAATGGAGTCACCCATGAATCATGATGGAATCAGATTAATTATAAGAGGAGCAAAACAAAACTATTTTGTGAGCTTTGAAGAAGAAAAAACAAATAAACCTTAGGTTTTTTAGTTTACTATTGGGAAGATTACTGCAAATAATGTGTGTCACGCGATGCCTTGAAAAGTAATTCTCATATCTTCCACCGTACTTCAACATGTAACCCCGCAGTTCCTGAAAAAAAATAATAAAATAATAATAATAAATAAATTAAAAAAAAACCTTCTTATAAATAATGATGAGATTCATGAGAAGAACCACATTCAAAACATCCTCTCATTTTTTGACAGGAAAATCCTCAAGAGAGAAAAAGAAAGCTGTATTACTTTTTAACCCCACCAGAAAGCCCCAATCCCATTCACAGGACAAGAACAAAACCAAATACAAATAAATAAATAACAAAATTCACAGAAAAAAGAATAAACAAAAATAAACCTGACTGGAGGGAACAGTGAAACCATCAACGAATATAGAAACTCCACGAAATATTGCGAACTCAGAATTGGAGCCACCACTAGAAGAATTTGAAGCTTGCGCATTGAACTGATTATGAAGTTTCTTATTCTTTTCCGCCATATAACTGCATCCAATTTGAAAAATGAAAATAAAAAATAACAAAAAAAGAGCATCCGTGAAAGAAATTGAACTTCAATACTTGTATAAGAGAAATTGAGATATATAAACAAAAATTTATGCTGAACGTAAAATTCCCAAATCTTTTTCAGTCATTTGACCAGGAAAATCGAAGAAATCGCGACCCGGAAAAGGGGAAAAGACGAAGCACCTTCCAAACTCGGAGAAGGGGGAATTGCGAAAGGAGGAGCGAGAGGAAGAGAGGGAATTCGAGCCCCAAGCGGCGCCTAGGGTTTTCTGGTTCGTGGTGTTCTTCTGCTTCTTGCTGTTAGTGGTGTTGGAACGATTGGAAGAGGAAGAATTGAAGCTTCGCTTGGATTTCTGGGCGGAAGAGCCGGCGGAGCGAGACGAATCCAGATTCATTTTGTTGTTGGGGGTCTCAGGAGAAAGAGAACCGGAGAGGAAGGCTCTTGAAGCTTACGAGTTACGCCATTGTTCAAATGAAGCGGCAAAGATGAACGCCTTTATTTATAATTATACTTGACTTAATACTTTTTTTTTTCCTTTTCCGTGGGATTAATAATTTACCATGTAAATAGTTTTTTTTTTTTTTTTGAGCGATACCATGTAAATAGTTGTGTAAAAATAAATAAACAAAAAAAAATAATCATATTTCTTTTCTATCATTAACATGAAACTTCAAGAACAGAAACGTTTTATCAAAAAAAAAAAAAGAGTAAGGGTCCGTTTAGTTCAGTGATTTGAGTTTTTAATTTGAGTTAAAATGTGATTTTATGTAAGAGCTTTTTACTGTAGTAAAAAAATTAAATATGATTGTTTCTAAGAGTTTTTTACTGTAATAAAACTCAAATTTTAAACTCGAAACGTTGAAATGAACGGATTATAAGTAAGCAACAGTCTTCTTACTTAAGGAAGGACCATTTTTACTGAAACGACAAATGTTGTGTCACTTCCCAACTCAAATGACAGCAAAGTAATTAGCAGCATATTACACGACATAAATTAGGGTCTCGTTTACTTTGCGGATTCGAATTTTCAATTCGAGCTGAGATATGACATTTTCTGAGAGCTTTTCACTATAACAAAAAAAGTTAGATGTGACATTTTCTGAGAGCTTTTTACTGTAAAAACTTAAAATTAAAAACTCAAATCGGTGAAATGAATGAGGCCTAAGTGTCGTCTATACACAGAAACGACAATGAAAGTGGTCAGTGTTAATCCCATAATTTGTCTTCACAAATATGTGTGAAACTCGTTTTTTTCAGTCAATGACATTCAAGTTTTTTTCACAACCGGGATCTACAAAATCGTCTCATTACAGCAAAGTTAGTGACAATGTCATAAACGATATGTCGTTTCAAACTCAACCGTAGGGAAAAACGGCCAAAAGTATGAGCAACTTGTCATAGTCAAAACAACAATAAAGCTCAAACGACACGTGATTTTTCCTGAGATATGACAATTTGTGAGAGTTTTTTACTGTAACAGAAAAAGTTAAATATGATATTTTCTGAGAGTTTTTTAGTGTAGAAACTTAAAACTGAAAACTTAAATCAGCAATAAAGCTCAAACGACACGTGATTTTTCCTGAGATGTGACAATTTGTGAGAATTTTTTACTATAGCAGAAAAAGTTAAATATTATATTTTCTGAGAACTTTTTAGTGTAGAAACTTAAAACTGAAAACTTAAATCAGTGAAATGAATGAGGCCTAGTTGTTTATTTATTGGAATGACAGTAAAAAGCTAACTATATGAATTAGGAAAGTAATCCATGCAACAGAAAAAGGTTTAAACCACATCAATTTATACCGGCAAATTTAAACCCGCAAATCCGCGAATCAAACGACTAGATAGGCTATGAAGTTCCATTCAACCAAATTAGAGAATGTTCATTACAGTAGTCATGACATTTTACTTGGCACTATTAGAGAATGTTCATTACAGTAGTCATGACATTTTACTTGACACTTTTTATGCATTGTATGAAGCCATAATCCAACTAATTCTGTAATCCATTACGATGTTTGTGCCACCCTTTTTTTCATTTTCTTTTTATCGTCCGGTTATTATTTTAGGTATGTTTTTTCACAGCTCAAAATTCTTAAATTATGTATGTGAAAAAAAATATATTGTAATAAAAAAATTAAATTTAAAATTTTATAAGAGAAAACATTATAATAAAAAATTTAAGTTGAAAAAAAAACAAGTCTTCATCTTTCATCCTCCAGCCATCTCATTTTCAAGCATGAACGGAGATTCTCATTGAATTATAACGGAGTTGCTGCAAATTAACACCAAAAATCCCATTTTTCTTTAGTCAAGCAAAATTGTGAGACCTATATTAACGGTAAAAACACTAGAAATTAATAAACTAATCTCCAGCTAGTAAATTAATAATAAACTAATCTCCAACTAGTCAACAAATTTGACCACAAAAACATAGTTAGAAATAAACTTATACTCCGTTTATTTTAAAAATTTTAATCTGATATAAGACCATAATTCATAATCATTACATTATTTTTTTCTTACAAAAAATTAAAATTTTAAAAATTAAAATTATAAAATATAATTCTGAACCCATTAAACTATAATTCTAAACTTGTTAAACTATAATTCTAAACTTGTTAAACTATAATTCTAAACTCATTCCTATGATGTAATTAGTTCAGCCCAAAAAATGTACAACTTTCGGCCATACAAGTTACCAAAGTCAAAAAGCCAACCATCTATTCCTTCCCAAAAGGGAAAAAATACAAAAGTAAATGGAGACCTATTGAAAAGACACCTTTAACCTATTTCGGCAATTTTTTCCCCTTTTAACGGCTGGTTCTTTTTGCTGTTCTTTTCTCTTCACCTTTTTTGACCTTTTTTTCCCATTACAAGTCGTGATTTTAAGGTTAAAGTACCAAACTTGGATTCTGAGCACCAAGCGAGCTAACTACCAGTTAAAAGCCATGTACAGATCTCAAAAAATACTTTGCAAGAAGATATTTCACTGCTTCGCTGAGGAAGAAACGTTGCTGGCCATAGCGGGTGACCAGAAATCAGCACCGTTGGTGTTTGCCACGTGTACGGTGCACTCAACTGGGACCAGGCACAATCCCTTGCTCCTCATATCCTTTCTTCCTTCTTTCTCCCCATTTTTACCTTCCTCTTTATCTCCATCCTATCAAATCAGTCAGCAAATTATTTCCCAAAAAAACAAAAGGAAAAATCCACGTCAGTATAATAGACTGAACTGTACAGTCACGGTTTCCCACTGTTGACCCTTGGGTTTTGACCAAGTGAAGAAAAAATCTGAACCGTCCAAAGGCCAAAAATGAGAAAAGAATTGGACAAAAACGACAGTACATTGATAAGACTTACGGATAAAAAAGGCAAGTTTTGCTGTAGGTAAGGAGAGCACAGAACTTGAATCTGCTCTTGCAGGAATCTGATGTATCCCATTGCTTCATAAAGCACTGATGCTGTATCAGTCTGCCAAACATATATACACATTTTTTTTTTTTTTTTTTAAAAAGTACAACTCCCCGAGCACATTCACTTTCAGCACAAACTTGTGAAATTGAAAAAAAAAAAAAAAAAAAAACCTGGGTAATGTGCTGTTGGTTATTGAAATTTGAAACTGTATTGTACCTTCCCAAAGGGTGAAACTAGTTGCTGAAGAGCTGCGACTCTTTCGCCTAGCTTCTCCTTTCTCTTCATACCATTGTTGAACACACACACCCAAAAAAAAAAATCAGTAATGATCATGCATGGACTAGTTTCAATATCCGGAGTGGAAAAAAAAAAGAAAGCTTTGATTATGGAATAACAAATAACTCTAGTGTAAAAACATGCAGAACGTGTGACATGCAAATAAATATGAGATGATCAAAATTTTAAAATTTTTATTGAATTTGGCTGACCTTTGGGGGAGCGGTGGAGGTGGGGTTTTCTGCTTTGATATTTTTAGAGGCTTTCTGATTAGCCACTGCACTTGTTGTGGTGACGGTGCTCGTGCACTGAACCAATTCTTGGTTTCGCTTTCTCTGCCAAAGCATGTAACCATCGATTTAGAATCTCACCCAACGAACCAAAAAGGAAAAAGGAAGCAAATATATACAAATTACAAATATAAACACCGACGACATTAATCGACTTCGACATGGTGCTGATGACGCTATTGGTAGAAGAAGTGGAGGACGACGAGCCGCTGCAAGTGAGACCCGATTTCTGAGACGCCCTCGTCGTTTTAGAGAAGATTAGCTGGTCCCCGTTGTTGGGATAGTCTCCGAAGCAGAGCATTTTGGGGTTCTTTTCGGCAGGAAAATTACCAGAGGAACCGCACTTGAAAATCTGGCTGACGTCGAGAGTAGTGAGAGAGTCGTCTTCTTCAGCGAACAGCAAGTGGGAGAAACTGGCCGTGGTGGTCCCCGTGAGAGTCAGATGATTATCCCTGTCGTAACGCTCGTTTTCCGCCATCAAAACCTCCAGTTTCAAGCCCCAACAAAAGTACAAAAAAAAATGTTTTTTTTTTCCTTAGACCTTAAAAGCTTCAGAAAGAAGAGAGAGGACCACTGGGAAAAAGTAACGGAAAGTGAGGGAGTTTTAACAAAACAGATGTGGCAGAGAGAGATATATATACACATCAATGTCTGTTTTTGGCTCTCTTTACTTTTGCCTACTTCAGTTCACATCATATGCGCGCGTTTTTTTTTTTTTTTTTTTTTTTTTTTGGGAGTTTAGTAGAAAGAATTTTTAGAGGGTTTTTTTTTTTTTTTTTTTTTTTTGGGAGTTTAGTAGAAAGAATTTTTAGAGGGTTTTTTTTTTTTTTTTTTTTTTTTGGGAGTTTAGTAGAAAGAATTTTTAGAGGGTTTTTTTTTTTTTTTTTTTTTTTTGGGTTTTTTTGAAAAAAATTTTTTGGGGGGTTTTTTTTTTTTTTTTTTTTTTTTTGAGGTAATATTGTTGGGTTCAGAAGGTGGCTGGGCTTTCCAATGCTATTGTTTCGGCTTTGGTTTTCGGCGTTTCTCAGTCAAACCCACCGGACCCGAGAAAACCGTGGTTTAGCCCTCCAACGCAACTCAAACCAACCTTTTCTGTCCCTCTCACCCTCCTGATAAATCCTTCCTTTGGTCCTTGACCCTTGTTAACGACTTATATATTATATTATATAGAATAATAATAGAAACAAATATATGATCTATCGTGTCACATGTTACAGAACACAAGTAACGTTGAAGGCCGAAAATGAGTTTTTTAAGTGATGTTTGGTATATGAGTTATGTTACATGTAAATCTATGATTTTATTTTTATTATAGAATTTTTTTATAAAAAAATTAAATTTTAAAAGCTATAATCAAAAATCTTGTTTTGAGTTTTATAAGCTTCTTTTATTTTATCGATTTGAATTTTATTATAGTAAAAATTCTCAAAAATAATCATATTTAATTTTTTTATTACAATAAAAAATTCTCATATAAAATCACATCTAACTTAAATTAAAAATTTGAATGAGCATGTACATATAAAGCTTACTTTCTATCATAAGTAACTGGCCTAAAAACATTTTCCATATGTTCAGAAAAAAAAAATCATTTTCCATATGAGAAGTCATATTAGACTTTAAAATTTTTACTATAATTTAAATCATAATTTATAATTTATTATAATATTTTTTTTCATAAAAAATACACATAAATTAAAAATAATTTTAAATTCACGTCGTTTTTATTTCCACCGCAAGTTTGCATGGATTTGGACCCACCTGAGTCTTGTTACTGCACAGTCAATTAAACGTCGGTTACGATCGTGTTTTTCACGAACGATAATTGCTTACAGTTGGTGGGCCATACTCGGTTTTGGACGTAGGTCCGCGGCGCGTGGGAGTCCTTTGCTTTTACATTTTTTGCCCAGAAAGTCAGAGATGACGGCCTCCTTCCTGCTGTCCACGTGGCATATGTCATGAGGTTAAACTACTTGTGGAACCCACTCTACTGACAAAATTATGGGTCCTGGGCCCACATGATCTAAAGTTCCAGCTGCAATCTTGCATGCAATTTGGAAGTCGAATCCTATACGACGAAGAATATATTAAACCTCGTTTATTTCATCATTTAAATTTTTAATTTTATTTTTAAAATAAAATTTTTAAAAAAATATCAGATTTAATTTTTTTTGTTAGAGTAAAAAATTTTTAAAAAATATCACATCTCAACTTAAATTAAAAATTTAAATTCGTGAAGTAAAAAGATTTTTAATGATCTTTAATTTTCTCGTTTTGTACTACTTTCGTTAATTTTCTCGTTTTATTATCTACACCGTTATTCATTTCAACCCATGATATATGGGAGTGGAAAGTAGTAGCAATGCCAAAAGTTTTATGGAAAACCGCGTAAATGCAGATAGAGTGAGTTGAAAATGAAGAAGAAGGACGTGTTAGCGAGAGAGAGAGAGAGAGAGAGGGGATATTGGCTGGCAAAAGGAGAAGAAACGACACATTTTTTGACAGCGTGGTGAGGTTATTAAAGAAGAAGATACGTGGGGAAGATCTATGGGGTTTGGTGAGAAAAAAAGACACGACAGTCAAGACTCCCTTCCCGACATTTGCTTCATCGCATGCTGCGTCCTCCGACACCTCGTTGCTTATTGTGCCTGCCCCTCTCTCTCCTCTCTCTCTCTCTCTCTCTCGCTGTATTCGATGCCCTTCAGTCCAGTTTTCGGCCCTAAATGATCAAGTCATAGGCCGAGAGTCGGAGCTCGGCCCTAAGTGCGTGTACTTCATAATCTGTTGCCTTAAAACGAAACTCTAACAAAATTAAGGACTTTTTTTTTATGACTTCAAGTTATAACATAAATGGTGTACGGGAGAAAAAAAAAATACTATAATAAAAAAATTTAAATTTAAATTTTTATTTAAGAAAATACTATAATAATATTATTTGAGCATAAAAATAAACGTAAAAACGTTCCTCATTTTATTTTTACACTATGTTTGATACGAATAAAAAGTGAAAGGAAAGAAAATGTTAGAGGGATTTTAGGATGAAAATTGATAAATTAATTTGTTTGATAGAAAGGAAATTAGAAAGAAAAAGAAAATTGAAAGGAAATTGTAATAGGCGGGTCCCACCATATTTAATCTCTTTAAAAGTTGAAAGATTTTAGGAATGAAAATAAATCTCTCACTGGCTTGCTTCTTATTGTTTCATTCTCTCTCTCTCTTTTTTTTTTTACAATTTGCTCGTCCTTTTTTTTTTGGTCTAATATCAACGTTGTATGTTAATGAATCTCTCACTACCTTGCTTCTTCTTGTTTCGTTCTCTCTCTTTTTTTTTTCTTTTTTTTACAATTTGCTTGTCTATTTTTTTTTTTTTTTTTGCTTTTGTTTGTCTAATATCAACATTGTATGTTAATGACTTGCTCTTGAAGATGATGTACAACAATGAAGACTTGAAATCACATGGTTAAATTATGTTTTTTGTACGTTTATATATGTACGTGTGTGTATAATATAGATGGAATATATGTTCAAGTTACATGAATTTTTTGAGTTAATTTGATGTTGAATACTGTATTATTTATACTTTTATTAGAAAAGAATATTAATAAAAAATATTTAGGCAAAAAAGTAATTACACCAATAATAACTTTTCCAACCCTTTAGTTTCACTTTCAATGCCAAATAAGGGAAGGTAGATTCATTTTCTTTCTTCCCTATCATACCAAACAAGTCAATGAAAAATCAAAATCTTTTCTATCCTTCTAATTTTCTATGCATTATAGTTTTCCTTTCCCTCCTATTTTCTTTCCTTCTTACCAAACAGAGCATTAAGGATTTTCTATAGTACACCCCCCTTTTTAAATTATTGGTAGAACAAGGTTTAAGTTACCGTTTGATTAAAATCTGTCGTCAAGTTGCCAATAATACATGTATTGCAACTTTAAATGCACTCACCCAATGTTGTCTTGATAAATATTTCCCTCCCTCTGACAACCTACAAACACAAGCCTTCTCTTGCCTCTGCTTTCCTTCTTTCTCCGGTGTTACCCTTCCTTCCATTCATCATCTCCATTATTGTAAAATAACTTCCGGAAGGGAAAAAAAATGGAAATTGCTCACTGGTTGATATATTGTAAAGAGATGATGTTCAGATTGTCTTTTTATAGACAAAACATGAAATCTAAAAGCCATAATCTGAAATTAGAGCAAGAAAATACCAAAAAAAAATTCAGACAATTTTTTATAGAATTCCACTTGGAAAAAATTGCCCAAAAATAAGCGTTTAGAACCCGTTTTAAAACGATTCCATTGTGTATAAAAATGAAAATGAAAATTATTACGTATGTTTTTGTCGTTGGTGTCACAAAGAGTGTTATAACACTTTACTGTAACATTATTTTAACACAAAATCTGAAATTAAACCAACAAAAACAGCAATGCAGAAAAATAATGCAGAAACATAAAGGACACCAGAAAATGGTATCACATTTCGGTGCGCATACTTACTTTGCGGGGCCACACCCAGACAGTGATCAATCCACTAAGTTCAAAAGATTACAAAGGACCGAATGATCTTACACACTCAACGACTCCCTCCTTGACAATGTCGCCGTTGCCTAGAATCTCCTTAGGAAGCTTGATCAGCGAGCACCACTCGACTTGACGGTTTCCTCCCGAAACCAAAGAAATCTTCTCCCGAAGAACCAACTTGAAAGTGTTCTAACAATTCGTAGCAACACATCAAAAGACACTTAACATTACAATCTCATTCTCTCATGAACACAAACGTCTCTCCTGTTTTCAGTACTTTCTCTCTATTTTTCAAAAGCCAAAACCACACATATGTTCTGCCATATTCCACTTTTCTGCAGTTCTATTTTGCTCAAAAACTCGTCCACGTGCATCACACTATCACCCCAAAATACTCACCCCACAGAATGCACAAAATCAGCCACCGTCACTACTTCTTTCCTTTTTCCACAATGACCACATATACAACCAATTACATCCCCAAAAGAATACTTTTCAAAAAACAAAATCAATCACATATCCAAAGTCAACCTTCTTGAATTACATTCCCAAAAGGCTTGCCTTCTTCTATAGAAAGAATCAACTCAAGAGATGTCAAACATTTCAAATATGGTGTAAAAATCCAGAGATAGAATCTCCATAGTTGTTACAACCTTTTGCCAAAAATTGCCAACTAACAAAAGTCCCAACAAGCTCCCCCTTTGACATTTTTGGCAAAACTAACATAAGAACCTATGACAAGAAATTTAAGAAACAAATTGTTCTTTGACTGATTACATATGACACAAGATCTCCCCCTTTTTGACAAAAAAATAGCCAAAGTAAAAATAATACTAATAAAAAAAACATTTTAGAAGCTGTTATCACAGAAAGTGTTGTAACACCAGATGGAACACTCGGTCTAACACTTTCCTGCAAATCACATTTTAATTCATTGATTTCTGCAACTTGCTCCCCCTGAATCCTTTACGAGTCTTACTCTCCGAGTATGATATTCTCCCATGCATATTACTTTTAACACCTATCAAAAGCTTAGAGTGACCATTACCATAATACTCAGAGTTAGTAGTACATGCTTTAAAATAATTATAAGCCTCATGACACCTTAAATCACATTTCCTTACCCACACACGTCTAGAAAATTTGTTTTGCACATCAAAAGCTTAGAGTGACCATTACCATAATACATCAAACGATTGTAATGTTAAGTGTCATTTGATGTGTTACGACAAATTGTTAGAACACTTTCAAGTTGGTTCTTCGGGAGAAGATTTGTTTGGTTTCGAGAGGAAACTGTCAAGTCGAGTTGTGCTCGTTGATCAAGCTTCCTAAGGATATTCTAGGCAACGGCGACATTGTCAAGGAGGGAGTCGTTGAGTGTGTAAGACTGTTCGGTCCTTTATAATCTTTTAAACTTACTGGATTGATCACTGTCTGGGCGTGGCCCCACAGAGTAGGTGTGCGCACCGAACTGCGATACCATTTTCGTATGTTCTTTATGCTTTTTGTTATTTTATTGCACTCACAATCACTGTAACTAAATTAAAAGAAAAACAGACCAGTCTACACTTTTACTGTCATCAGTGTTACAACAAGTGTTGCAACACTCTTTGTGACACCGACTGAAAAACAGAGCTAACAAAAATGTTTTGAGATTCGTGCATGAATCATTTCTGAAAATGTGTTTGGTAGTTTTATTCAGAAATTATTTTTAGTATAAAAAAACTAAAACTCCGTTTAGTTATTCATTTTTAAAAACGTGTAATAGTATTTTAAATAATATATTAAATGATTAATATTAAAAAAACCCAAACTCTGACGTGGCACAATTTGTTCCTCCTCGCCCTTTTCTTTTTTCTTTTTCAGCTTTCTTTATTTCTTCGTCACATCCCAAACTCTCTCTCTTCTTCTTTTTCTTCTTCAGTTTCTTCTCCTTTTTTCGCTGTTTGCTTCTTGAAAAAGCAAGAAATTTGGTGGAGTTTTTGGTTTTTTTGATCGGGAAAAGCTGCAAAATCAGTTTTAATTCTACGGAATCGAAGGCTTCGGTTCTTGGATCGAGCTCAAGAACCTTTGAGGATTCTACTCAAGCATCAAAATGTCATGGTCTAGGGATTTCGAAGCTTTTTGAGTTGGAAATCGAGAGTAACAGTGGAGGAACGAAGAAAAGGGAGACTGGAGAAGAGGGAGACCGGAGGAGAGGGAGACCGGAGGAGAGGCAGACCACTGGAGCAAAAGGAGACTGGAGAAGAAGAAGAGTGGCGGAAAGAAAAAATAACCACCGAGTTAAGAGGAATGAGACCGGAGAAAATGAAAATAGGAAAAGGAAAACGACTTGTAATTGTTTTCAGAAATATCTAAATTTTTAGGAGAAAGAAAAAAAAATGTTTTCATTTTTATTTTTTCATATGATGCAGTGCCAAATGCAATCTTCAGAGAATTTTCATTTTTTGGTCCTAAAAAAACGTTTCAAAATGGGTTTCAATTAGGCACAAAAACATGCATTCTTTTATAGTTTTTTTACATCAGCATTGAGTGTGAAGTTTGGGTTCAAGCCCAGTTTCGCCTGAAGAAACTCAAACCTTGTTCATTTCACCGATTCGAGTTTTTAATTTGAGTTTTGCTACAGTTAAAAGCTTATACAAAAAATTACATCTAATTTTTTTCTATAGTGAAAAACTCTCACATAAAATCACATTTCAACTCGAATTGAAAACTTGAATCCGCGAATTGAATGAGGCCTCAAAGATCAACTACCTACTCCGCCATCATTGGGTGCCCAAGAAACCCAACCTCTCCAACCAACCGGTGGGGAGAACTCCGAAACTAAAGGAACGAAGAAGAAGATCAAAAGAGATGATCGAACCCTCTCAGGAATTGATTATATTATGGCTCTGTTTCCACTTGATCCTTCTAAGATGGAAAGTATAGGTTGCTTTCGTAGTTTTGAATAGGTTATGTTTGGTATGATGATTCATGTCATGGTTCGAATCATAGTTCATGGTTCGTTACAGTGTTTTTTCTCACAATAAATACACGTAAATCGAGAATAATTCTAAATCTATGAACTAAATGTCTTAGAAGGATGAAGTTGAGAAAACCATTATAGAGAGAGAAAGAATAGTTGACAAATAACGAAAAAAGAGAGAAAATGAGATCAAGAGGGAAAGAAAAAAAAGGAAAGAGAACAAAAAGGACAAAAAAAAAAAACAAATAATTCAAAAAAAAGTAAAATTAGAAAATAAAAGATTCAAAACATAAAAAGGCGTATAAATTTCTATATATTGATAAATTAGTAATTTACCTACATAAGTTTTAAATTTAGGTCTATTTTCTACCATTTTTCTTTTCATTTTAAGAGCAAAACTTTCAACTGATTCCTATGTCAATCCGTCAATGAGATTGTGACGGAAAAGAAACATTTTTTGTCTGTCCCTGCAACATAATTAGCAAACCAACTATTTTGATTTTCTTGTGAATCTGTGATTGTCAGCAAGCCCATTTGTACTTTTCACAAGTACTCATACATAAAACGCCACTGAGCAACCGTGATAAGAAAAATGGATCAAGGAAAAAACAATCTCATGCATTGAGCTTGATCCTAGAATCCTTTCACCTCAAACAATCTCATGTTTCCCCTTTCCTTTTTGCTGCAAAAGGCTCCTCTGTGAAATCTCCAGTAGAGCCGACGAAGGGGAATTTCACTCGATCCGTCTTAAAACTCCCTCTAGTTCAAACTACAGAAAATACAAACTCTAAAGAAGTTTTATATATCTCTGAATGTCCCAATATTCCCTCTGCTAGAATTACTTATTTATTTATTTTTTAGGTAACCATTCTATCTGCTAGATTAAGCCTTGAAGATGCCTATCAAACACTCTTTACATCCAATAAAACCAAAAAGGACAGCGTTCACTATTTGAAAAAAACATCATCGTAATGTTTTTATTATAAAGTTGTTTCGAAAATTTTCACATATTGAAAGTCATTTTTTGAGATTACTGTGCGAGTGGTTTGACAATGAAATCAAAGGACGCCAAACGGATTCTATATCCTTGCATCATTATTTTAAAGTTCGTTGCTATTATTATTATTCCCTTAAGCTCAATCCTCACATCTTCTCTATTTCTCTGATGGCTGGCAGTGATTAGAATTACAAATTGGATACACAGCTACTGAAACAAACAGAAAATAGAACTCAGAGGAGAAGGAAAAAATATCGAAAGAGAGAATAATAAGAAAAGGCAGGTTAACTGCAAATGGCAGTTCTCTCAGAGCTATTGCATGGTATAATCGTTTCTATCATGGCAAGATCCAATTAGAGGGGGCAGGAATCAGGGACAAGTGATCCCAGCCCTATTTTAAAAAGCTAGGAATTTTTATGTTTTGCTTTCTAGTTCTACTCTCATTTTGCTAAAAGTAAACTGTAAACGTACAACTTCTTTTAAAAATCACAACAATCCCAAACTAAGCCTTAGCCTACTTGCTAAAGATTGATTCGGCATCAAGACAAGCTCAAACTCACTAATCACTCCGCTACTGCACCAGCCATGCCAATTAAAACAAAACAAAAAGCCAATTAAGTCTGCCGGCTCCTAGTCTACGGTCTCTCATTCTTTAAGGGCTCGTTGGTTCATGCGTTTAAATCAGTGATTCTTAATTTTGACATTTGAAATTTAAATTTTTTATGAGAGGAAAACACTGTAGCAGAATCAAAACCATGAGTTTAAATGCACGAAACAACCGAGCCTTAAATGTCCTATTCAGAGACCACAACGCTTCTAAAGAAAAGTGAAACCCATAAACATGTTGCTATGTTCTTTGCATTGCTGGGGTTAGTTTAACTCCAAAACTAGAACCAAACACAAACCAAAAAAAGAAAATTGCATATCACGCGGTTAGTTATAATCACTTTCCACCTAGGATCATTGCAGAAGTTATGATGCCATATTTTGGTTACGTATTCAAAAGAAAGAGAGCCTTTGGTTCAAATACGTACTCCTCACCAACTATACTAAAAGGGCATTATTAGCTAGAAGAGCCAAAAACAAAAAAAAAAAAACAAAAATTGTATGTTCCCTTTGGGACAAAACATCAAACAGTTGGTAGGCATAAAGATGCTAATCTAAGCAAGCCTCCTTGAGCTTATCAGCAGCAGATTCGTCCACAGAATACTGCAATCATAACGAAAACAAATGTATTTAAATACAGAAAATGATGGAGGAAAATATGTTACACACACACACACACATATATATATATAGATTTGTAGAGAATTGGGGACCTTATTGAGGACCCAAAGGGAATGGTTGTAGGCTCGGAGGAAAAGCTCACTGGGATCGTCGGAGGCGTCCAGTTGTCTGAAATTGACGAAGTTCTCGCGAGCGTACTTGGCATAGTAAGGTCTTGTTTCCTTCGGTAGCAGCCTCACCAGCCTCAGCACCTCTCCGTAGATTCTCAACGCTTTCTCCATTTTCACCACCGAGGATCGTTCCAAGCTCCACTCTCCTGTTATGCGAGTTTCTTTCCTCTTTCGTGTAAGCTAGCACTGGCGATTAGGCTTCTCACTTCTGTTTCTTCGAACATGGACAGCCTAGTATGGACCTTGGGCCCAAAATCTAACCAAAACCCATGAGAGAATTATAAAAACTGACGCTAAACCCATATTTTTGGAGTTCTACCTTTTACTGTAATAGTGATAGGGCTACCCTTTAATAATAATATATCAAATTATAGTAATTTGTCGAATTATGTTTATGGTCGATGATCGGAGACCTACCGTTAGTGATCGGGGAGACCTGTTGTCAACGTAATTTATCAAATTATAGATAACAATATCTCGAATTACTTATTTTAAAGGAGTAAAATTTAATAGGTTAATGTTGAGATTCAAAAATCCTTAATAGTACTATTTTAGGGGATATTTGTCAAAATTACCCAAACTCATGTTGCAAATTAGCCCCTAAAAAGTATGAGAGTGCAGGGATTTTTTCCTTTACTCTTGATTAGTACATTTTTTCTTTAATGTAGCTAACTAACTAAAAAGGATATTAATAAAGAGTAAAGGGTAAAAATTAAGATACATGCACTTTTAAAGAGTATTTGTTAAAATTTCTCCTACAAAATATATAAAGAGATAATCGGTGAATTCACCTTTTAACAGCGTTGTTCTAAGATTTTTACTTTTTATTATTGATTAATAACCCTTTTTACTAGTATAGTTCTTTAACTAAATAAAATTAATTAAGAGTAAGATATGAAAATCTAAGACTCATGCATTTTAAAAACTATTTACCTCATTTTTCCATTTACAAATTACACTGGAAAGCATGTTTACTAGTGTGGAATTGAAATATAACAAAGTTTATAAAACATTTTAAGAATATGATTATCACATTTTATGCTAAATAATTACATAATAATTATTATAATAACTTAATTTTTACTATTTGTAAAATATTTTAAGTTTTTTTTTTTGCTATATTAATATAACCAGCAAAGTTTTATTATGTCTAAATTTTTCTATATACTACTCCAAATTAGTTATTCACAATTCCACTGTGATGTAAAAAGATTTTAATTTTCCAGAAAAAAATACATAGTTGAATTTCTAGCCATAAATAAGTTGATTAAAGTTTTAAATATTTAAAATTTTCACCCTCCAATCATGCATAAGTCCAATTTGGTTTTCTGTTTACGAGAGAAATAAAACTTTTCTTGACGACAAAAAATAAGAAACTTCTTCGATTCCACAATCTTAACAATCAAGTTCACAACCACTTTCACAAATTTAAACAACTAATTTCGTAAAATACATGATCTAATCAACCAATTTCACATGTTTCGTATAAATCAAAAACTAAAAATTATCAAAATTAATAAATGTAAAAACTTCTATACAACCATTGTCTAAACTCCATATACCCAAAAAAAAAAAAAAAATCAAAAAAACCCATTCAAATCTAAGTCTAAACCCCCAACTTGTCAGTAAAAAAAAAAAAAAAAAAAAGTCACTAAAACTCATTATACCTTCACCTAGAAGCTTAAGATTTTATCTTCAAAATGTCTTAGGCTTAGGCTTATTTTGGTAGGGATTTTAGGAGCTCAAAATAGATTATTTAGTCAACTAAAATTATTTTTTGTGTTTAATAAAAACATAAAAAAGACTTTTGAAAGAATTTAAGGAGAATTTAAAGCTAAAATCAGAAGCAGCCCAGGGCTGCTTCTGATTCTAGATTGTGTGGGAATCTAAAAAGCCTCTTTAATGAAATTTTTGTTATTACGACTTTACTCCTGCTGAATGAGAAAACAATTCCAGACCCAAAAAATTTTTGCTCTTCGCGGTCATGTTCCTCTCCTCTTCCTCTACGATCTCCCCCGCCGCTTCAACGTTGGCATGCTCAACCGCTGGAGGTCCGGCCAGATGCCGGTCACCGCCCACCGAAGAACTCTGGCCTTAAGCGGCAGCACAGTGTCGAGTACTGGATGATGGTCTCACTTCTGTACGACGATGATGGGAGAGAGGTCGTTAGGGTTTCGGATCCGTAAATGGCTGAAGCCTTTTTCTTGCCGTTCTTCTCCTCTGTCACAGTCTAGTTCATTTGGGTGGAATTTGGTAGTCGGTTATATTTTGTTCATTTGAGGTTGCTGGAGTTTGTCTTTTTGCTTTTTTTTTTTGTTTGGAATTGTTCGGGACCGATTCAGATCTCGAAGGCCATGTCGCGGGAGAGACCTAAGAGAGGCGTACTACCCCCAGCTCAAGAGGTACTACGCCCCTAAATTAACTAATTCCTTTCTCTCTGTTTGGTTGCCGGGAAAACAAATTGGCAACTTGGTCTCCATAAAGGCTCTTGCTTTGTGTTTGTTTTCTGGGTTTTAAAATACAACAGTTTTTTTTTTTTCTCCTCCAAATTTTGATGGGTATTACTTTGTTTCTAAATTTGGTTTTTGTGGGAGTAGATTGAGATTGCGAAAAAAGGTGGAATTTTTGTGTTGTTGCTTGTTACTATAATGTTTAGTACAAAAATTGAAGAAGTAGAAAGAAAGTAATTCCTTATTGTTGTGTTCTTAATGCCAATTTCTTTACTTTCCATACATTTGCTTGGTTACTGAGGAATGTAGCCTCAATTTGCATTTTCAGATAAAAAAAATGATGATTAATTCAATCGCATATATCTATATTGATAATGATTACCGATTTTTCGTCAAAAATAACGATTACCAGTTTCAATGGTGCACCGTGATTTTGCTTTTCATTGCAGAATATTGAGAAGTTAAAGAAAGTTCTTGAAGAGGGTAATTACTATGGAGCCCAACAAATGTATAAATCTATAAGTGCAAGGTATGAACATTGTTTTTAAGTTTATGGAGATATGCATACACTGGGACATTTATACATCATTGTAGAAATTATTTGTTGTTTACTTTCTGATGAACTTTCTGGGTTCATAATATCTATCCCTCGGCTGGGAGAACTTAATTATTACGAATTTCATATATTAATATCGAATGCGGATGCTGTCCTTTTCGACAATGTTGATAATGATTAACTTCTAGCAGAAACCCGCTTATTATCCATTCAGGTATGTCTCACTGATGAAGAATGCATGCTTTATTGCAGATATGTCTCTGCTCAGAGGTATATGGAAGCTTTGGATATACTTTATTCAGGTGCCTGCATTCAATTGGAACATGGGCAGGTAAATGCTCTTATGTTGCTGGTTATACACTTGAGCCATGATATCTTGCCCTTCGTTGAGTTTTTATTTTTATATGGTGATATGTTGTGAGTTCAAACGAACTGGGATGGGATGAGATAGGGCTTAACATGTGGTTCATAACAATCACTTTTATTTAGTTGTGGTTCATAACAATGGAAGTTAAATTGAGCTGGGTGTATTAGCTTGTTGGGAACAAACTATAGCAGGTATTAAATTCAGAACTTAGTACCCATTTCACGCTAGTCTCTTCTCCAAAATGTAACAAATCTTTGTCTCTAGCCACAATCCTGCCGATAGTGTTTATTGGGAAAGTTCCTGTAGTGTTAGTGTGAGGAAGGGTCACACCTTTTGGTGGATGTACATTCATACTCACGAGGCTCGTGTAGAGGTACTTGTAGCATCAATTCCAGGAAGTATATATCCCTTTGACTATGACTACTTTTCCATTATTACTTTCATTTTGGCTGTGGTTGGGGTTTTACTTTTACTATTTGTTTTGTAAGTAACTCTTGAATTGGAGTTGTAACCCTCGGTTTTGTACAGGGAATGTCCACTGGACTTGAAAGAAGCGATCTCTAGTGTGTGTTTGCTGCACCAAGGTGTGCCGAATTGCCGGAATTACTGCAGGTTCAAATACTATTTGCATCTAAATATGGAAAGGAATTTGTAGCAGCTGCGTCTGAGCTCATATCAGATTGCGGTGTCAATCGCCAGGTTTTATGAAACTATAGCTTGATTTACTTGTGAATTTTTCTATTATTTTCCATCATATTTTCTCTCTCTGATTTTTTTTCTTTACTGCTTCTGATCCATACATACAGAATCGAAGGAACTAATAAGAAGGCCAGAGTCCTATGGAATAGTATGGTGCTCTCATTGTTATGGTCTCTGTGGATGGAGCGGAATGGCATAATTTTTTAGGAAAAGGCAGGGTCAATTGATATTTTTGAGAAGGCAAAGTTCTATGCATTGCTATGGGCTACTTTAGGGTTCCCGTTTACTTTGGTCATTTTGAATTGGAAAGATGTTATAGGGAATTGATTTGAGATACCGTTTATGTGTTTATCTTGCTCTTTTTGTATGTTAGTCAGTTTTTCACACCTGACAATTTTTGTTTCTTTTTGGTTTGAGGATACCTTGTCCTTTGCCCTTGTTATTGAATTTTATCAATAAAGTTTTTATTATAAAAAAAATAAGCACGTAAAAAAAATAGCAAAATGTTCCATAAAACAGTACTTCATATATTTATTTATTTTTTGCTTAAACAATCCAGTGTAGGTAAATAAATAAATGGTATAGCTTCACTCTAGCATGCTTCATTAATAATCATATTATACCAATGGTATTTTAATTAGGAAATGATGATCCTAATCGAAGCTAGGCGGCTCCACCTAACCCGATCTGAGGGCCTCACCCATCAATGTGTGAATTTGCTCATTTACGTAAGTGTGTGTGTATGGATATGAATATATTTGAAATGTTCTTTATTTGTGGTCTTATAATTAATTATCATTTGGCTTAGCTCGTTTCTTATCATGAAATTTTTCAACAAATTTATCATATTTTCTTGCAAATTTTTTAGAAAAACCCCACTAAAATTGATAATTATGGTATTTGGTTGCGTTATCAAAGATTGCAACTGTCCCTGCCAAACTTTGCAAGAGAGAGAGCACAAAACAATTCCACAACTCGAAGACTGCAACTGTCCCCGAGTAATTGTCACTAATGCTTCTTTTAGTTGTAATTACATTGTGAATGAAGAAATGAAAAAAAAAAAAGAGAATTAATTATCATAAATTTATTGTTAAAAAATTCAAAATCATATCCAGAAGTTTTTTTTTTTTTTTTTAAGTTAAACAAGTATTTCTAAATACCAAAAATAATTATATATATTTAAGTTTCATACCATGTCTATTTTGGTCATTTTACATACTCACAACAATTCAACATCAAAATTTACCAAACGCTATTACACTGATTTTGAAACCAACACAGCTATTATAATTACAGTTTACCAAACACTCAGTTGCTTCTTATAACAGCTGCTTCTTTCTTCAGCACAGCTAAAAGTAATTTTTCTAAAATCCACAGTACTACCAAACTAAACCTTAGTTTGGTAGAGATTTTGGGAAGCTAAAATCAATTTTTTTTTTAACTAAAGCTAAAAAATATGTGTGGTAAACGTATAAAAATGGATTCTTAGAGAATCTAAAAGCTATTTTTAAGCTGAAATCAGAAGCAGCTCACTTGCTGCTTCTGATTTCAGATTGTGTGGGAATCTGAAGCCTTTCATTAATGAAATTTTAGTTATTCCCAAAATAACCTTGAAAACCTATCATTCTGAAACTCTCTTCGTGCTCTCAGCCTCAGCCGCTCCTGAAACTCTCAGCCTCAGCCTCCTCCGTGCTCTCTCGCCTCAGCCTCTCTCAGCCTCTCCATTTATCTCCTGCGATTGTCGGCGGTGGAGTCCCCAAAATTTCTGTTCTCTCAGTGTCGGCGGCGGACTCCCTCTGGTTGGAGCTCACAATCTCTGCGTCTGTAAGTACTCGATTGAGCTTTTTTTTAATGTCGATTTGGTGTATGGTTTGATGAAATTTGGGTTTTGAATGTCGATTTGGTGTTGGTGGTTTTGAATGTCGATTTGGGTTTCCAGATTTTGTACAAATTTTTTTTTTCTTTGCTCTATAAACCGTGAACCCTTTGTTTATCCTTTGAATGTCGAATTGGCTTAAAAATATTTCCGTACAACCGCAAGTTTCAGAGCAGAGTCTTGGCGAAATGGTAGATCACTTGGTCTCTCTCCAGAAATTCATAGGAACCCACTTGAACGAGCTTGAGATTAAGGAGACCCGCGTGAAAAAACTCCTTAAAGAACTCGAATCCAAGGAGAAAGAGATCGATTTGGTCCGAAACTTTGATTTCAGTTTTGGGTCTATGGCAGGCATGAACGGGAAAGAATTGTTGGGTTTCTTGAGTGGGTACATGGGTCAGCAAGAAAAGCTGCATGATGGCATTTTCCAAGCGCTTAAATCGTGTGAAGAACCGGAAAAATTGGTTCTTGATGCGGTTAAAGAGTTTTATTCCGAGAACGGGGAAATGGATATTGGAGGAGGGACTGTTTGGAAGAGAAGCTGTGTGGTTTTGCTGGAGCAGTTGATGAGGCTGAGGCCCAAAATTGTGCCTCCGGATGTGAAGGCGGAGGCGGCGATATTGGCCCGAGAGTGGAGGGAAAAGATGAAAATGGAGGAGGGACAAAAGGGTCTTTTGGAGGTCTTGGGGTTTTTTTTGCTTTTGGGTGCCTATGAATTAGTTGGTGAGATTGATATTGGTGAAATGTTAAGTGTTTTTGTGAGTATTGGGCAGCAGAGTGAACAAACTGAAGCCAGTGAGTTGGAAATAGAGCTTGGTCTAGCTGGCACAGATCCGAGTATGTTTTGGAAGTTTGTATTGAATTGTATTTGTATATACATAATAAGGTGTTTGCTTCAATATCTTTGTCACGGAAAATATGTCTTTACACCATTTGGAATGCAAATATTGATATCCAAATTATATTTAGAATGAAAAAGTATAAAAATGACAGTTTTTTGCATCTATTAGAATTACGTAGTTGATATGATATTCCATTACTAGAATGCATAATACAATTAAAATGTTATATCGATTTTATTCATGAATTTTAAGTTTTGGAACTTGGAAAAAGTAATTTTTAAATAATTTAGAAATGATAATGTTGTAATTATTAAGTGAAGAGCCAACCCATCGGCCAATAAGCAACCAAATGCTATAATTGGTGCTAAATTTGACACCAAGTTGAACACATGCCCAATACACATTAAGAATAACATTGATTAGAGAATGGTTTCTTACCAAATACCAAATTTTGGCATTGGCATAGAAAGGTAGAATTGAATTGGATATGCTCTTATTGTACCTTGAAAGAGCGGTGAAGTTGTAATTGGATCGATCCACTATTATGTGCATCTTGATTGCTACTTGTTTGAAACTTATTTAGGTATATGGGGCTTTGTTTATCTTAAAGGTTTCTCCTTGTTGTGAATTGTTTGATCTTATACCTACTTAGTGAGCACAACCATTGATTCTCAAGAAAAGATTGACTGGTCAATGAAGGAAGAATTGCAGTTGGTCACCCAGATAGCTTCTTCATTTGCAAGCCGTTTGGAAGCGCTCAAGTATTTTTGTGTTGGTATGGATGGAAGGCATTTGA